GAAACCTGCTGAATAGCAACAAACAGCAATTTGCTAATAAAACTTCTTTATACCCTTTAACAAAATCAAATCATGATGATCTTTGGAAAGATGCATTTGCAAGTGAATAATGAGAGAGGAATGAGATCTATTAATTAGTTCAAATGACCCACGTGATCCATAATAGCTAGAGAAAAGGGGAGCCAAATGGCACTTTATGCTGACAGGTATGGGCCTGGGAATTCCTAGTACCTCAAAGTTAATCAGAAGCAAAGCATCTTCAGGCCAAATGATTCTTCTAGGAATTGTGAGATTGGTGGTACCTACTGTGTGGCACACTACTGGAATATGTGCCCTCTTTGAAGTGAAAAATCTTCAATTATATGAAACATCATATGTTTAGGAAAAAGAAATAGTAGAGCAAGAAATAAACACTCCAGACAAAAATCTCAAAAGGGAGAGGTAGAAAGGAGTCCCCCGTCCTAACACTGTTCAGTGTGTTTGGAAGGTGGAGGTTGCAAAGGTGATGCCCTAGGTCAAGGTGTAAGACGGAAACACCCCTCAGATGAAGAAGCGGTACCGTGACCAAACTGAGACTCATTTGGGGGATGAAAATAATTTACTGGGAGACCTCTGTGTTGCTCTTAAATTTTGTTTACTTGTAGGGCCGGAAGATTAGCAGAACTATTTGCCTCCCATCCCCATACTTAGGCAACCCACTCACAACTCTTTATAATTCTGGCGTTCAGCCTTGGGGAGGGGAAGTAGGTTAAAAGGGATCATGCAACTCAAGCTTGGAGTTATTGGGGGAAGAATGTGTGTCACGAAGTGATGCAGCTCACTCTGTCCTTTGACATTTGCTCTAATAAATTTTTATTCTGAATGAAATTTGGAAGAGGTGCAGTGACATGGAGAACCGGAGAGCCGTGGGGAGGGAGGCTCAGAGAGCAGCAGAAACCCTTCCTTTTCTCCCACACAGATGCCGGCATCCATGTGGGAGAAAAAGAGGGACAACTCAGAACAAAGAGAACTTTGATTTTTGCCTCCGCAGAGCGTGCTTAAGTTGAGTTTTTGAATCTGCTGAACCACTTTAGCCCATAATTTTTCCTAACAGAACATTCTGTCCCTACAAAGTTTGCCCCTTACATTGAACAGTTTGGGGTGTTTTACTTAGACTTATAACAAAAGCTGTTTTATATAAGATTTTTCAGATTTTTAACTCACAATAAAAAACTTTTTCCTACATATTTAACTTGACATGTATCCTTAAAACACTAGAAAGGAGAAAGAAAGATTATGGAGAATATGAAATTTCACACAATTACACTTATTTCCATCAGTTTTTTAAATAAATGAAGATAAAACCATACATTTTTTCCAGAAAGAAAAGAGGGAGGGAAACTGAGAAATTTATTAGAACTTTATTTTTTAAGAAACCAAGAAATTCGCTTGGCACCTATGGCTAGAGTGGCTAAGGCGCCAGCCACATACACCTAAGGTGGTGGGTTCGAATCCAGCCCGAGCCCACCAAAACAACAATGATGGCTGCAACCAAAAATAGCTGGACATTGTGGCAGGTGCCTGTGGTCCCAGTTACTTCGGAGGCTGAGGCAGGAGACTCGCTTGAGCCCAGGAGTTGGAGGTTGCTGTGAGCTGTGATGCCACAGCACTCTACCCAAGGGGATGGCTTGAGGCTCTGTCTCAAAAAAAAAACCAAGAAATTTAGTAAGCACCCACTGTGATCCAAAACAGTGTTCAGGCACTTCTTGAAGCACTTTTCCTTGTTGCTCATTTAATCCCCCAAACAATTCAGTCTCCCCCCTTTTTTTATTTTTGGAAGAGGAAGCAATATATTTAGCCATATTACATTTGGTATTTGTCCTTATGACAAGACAGAGATGATAGGAAAGCTAACTAAATCCTCCCATAAAAATTGGCACAGATACTGCTTTATGGAAATTTTTTTGCGATGGTTTGTTTTTGATCCATAACTATTACATTTCCTGGCGTTAGAAATTGCTCTGGCCCTAGAAAGGGGAACTGTAGATTGGCCCTTCTCCATATTAAGTGATGAGTTTGGCTCTTTGCAAATAAGTGCAAGGCTAGTCTGTTTCAGGAGCATTACCTGAGTTCAGATAATAGTTGTTACCATGAGCAAGACTGATTCAGAATATTCCTAGATGATCTACTGGTAGGTTAAAAGAAAGGGGGTCAGAGGGGCTGGCACCTTTTCAACTGTGATATGGAAATAGTTTAAGAAGAGTTAGTAATAGAAAGAAAAAAATGGAACTATTACATAATTGTAGGAAAAACTGTATGATTATGATTTCTGAACATTTTCAGTATTTAAAAACAATTCTGATAAAATGAGGAACATCATAGCACCTCTTTTCCAAGTAGCTTGAAATTAGTCTGCTCCCCTTTGATAGCTTCTACGGTTAAAGCTGCAACTCTCTCCTGTTATTTCAAATCACTCCACTTTTCCTAAGTTCCAGTGATGAATACCTTCTAGTCAGCCAGGCAGTTTCAGCACATAGTTAATTATACAGAGTTTGAAAGCCGTCTCCAATCTCTGGATAAAGCACTGTCTACATTTCCTGTGAGAAGTTGCTAGCTGAACCTAAAAGATTTACTGGGTAATCATGATCACTGAAAATGGAAAGGAGGTTAGAAATAGAGCTCAGTAGATAAAATGTGACGTGAAAGCATATTTAATAGCTAGGTCCAAAGTTACTTTTTTTTATTTTTTGGAGACAGTTTCACTATGTCACCCTCAGGAGAGTGCTGTGCCTCAGCTCACAGCAGACTCAAATTCCTGAGCTTAAGCAATTCTTTTGCCTCAACCTCCCAAGTAGCTGGGATTACAGGCGCCTGCCACAACGCCTGGCTATTTTTTTTGTTGTTGCAGTTGTCATTGTTGTTTAACTGGCTTTGCTGGATTCCAACCTGCCAGCCTTGGTGTATGTGGCCAGCAGCCTACCCACTGAGCTACAGGTGCCCAGCCTGAAGTTACATATTTTTCTTGATCAAATTAACCATAATACAGGGTGTCCCAAAAGTCAACTGTAAAGTTTCCACACATAGGGAAAATGGGAAGTTATAGCTCAGTGTCCTTTTTTATAAAGTATTTATTACAAAATGAGTTGACAAAGGAGTGCCCAACACATAGAGAATATTTGGTAAATATTTAGTAAATTTTTAGAATGAGTTTTTTTGTAAATAAAGGTACATGTAGGTCCCATTTTCCAGATATATGGCAATTTTGTGGGCAACATTTGGTATGCCCTGGAGTACTAGTGCCAAAGAAACAGGAAAAAATCATCCGTGTATTTAGCAAATAGTCTGAGAGAAGAATAACAACATATAACCCAATGTTACTAACGTGTTTTTGAAGGTGAAGCTCTGTTTAGAGATAACATTTTTTATTCTCATTAGTCTGTTACAATTCACTGATAGATTGCAGCTCAAAAAATATGCATACATTCTAAACTGATTACCACTCAGATATGTATGTTCAGTGTAGTGTGACAAGTAGGATATAGTAGCCTGCACCTGTATCCTCAGTACTTTGGGAGGCCAAGGTGGGAGGATGGCTTGAAGCCAGGAGTTTGAGACCAGCTTGGGCAACGTAGTGAGACCTCATCTCTAATAAACAATAAAAGTCAAAGTCTGACAAAAATTAAGTTAGTCTTAGATTTGTATTTGGGATATGAAATATGCAGATGTCCTCTGTGAGCGCAAAACTGGTGCTTGCTGCCTGGGTATATGGGTTTAATTCTATGATGGCAGCATCCATGAGGCTATTGACTGTGGGGAACTTTGTCCATGACTAGCATAAGCTGCCACTGTTAAGTTCTACCATTTTGGTAATGGACTAATAAATTAAAGAGTTAGACTTCTAATAGCCATAATTATCTTAAATAGAGTTTCAAACATTTTAAACATGCTTTTTGACCCATTTAAAAGGGTATATAGCTTTATTAATAAAAACTAGTTTCAATTGAAGTCAAAGCAAAATTTTGTAAAGCAAAATACAGGAATATTTCTTAATTTTCTCAATCTACTTTATATTCAATATGCTGTTTACTCTTATAATAATTTCGTGAATATCCCCCATTTTAATGTAAATAAACTAAGCCTCAGGCATGTGAGATGACATAGAAGAGTTGTAGATCTGGTATTTTGCATCTTCAACCCTAAATATACATCCCCCGAATGCTAGAAATCTAATTATTTCATATTTCAGCCATTACTTAATATAGGAGAATATTCCCTGCCAACTAAGCAAAATGTTTTCTTCAACTTTCTGTGTTCAGAATCCTAGAGACTTTACAGTAGATAGTTTATTCGAAGGGAAAGAGAGAAAGGATACATTCCAGCATGTCTCATGGGATAGTTTTGATGCTGTTAGATTTTATTTGATACGTAAAGTATGCATATACCTTTTATAAGTGAGGTGAGTTTCTTGCTGATATGTAAGTCCCAAGTCGACTACCAGCTTCAGGGTCTTAAGTGATGCAGTAATTTGGCCTGGGCTTGATTTCTGAATATAGAATGGAGAATATAGTCCCGCACTGACTCGAGACTTTAAGTCATGGAAATACACGTTTACAATCAAGTTGTACCAGAACAGAAAGGGTAGTTCTATTGCAGCAGAATCTGCTACCGTTTTATACATGCGATGATAGAGTTGAATTTCATACTTCTGCTCTTGGATATTCATGAAAAACTCTATTTTTAGGTAAAGCGGTTAAAGAAATACTTCTATCTCACATGTACATTCAACCGTCTTGTCCACTGTAATTTTGCTGGCTTGTGGCAGAAAGGGGAAAAAATAATGTTAGACAATACTTAATATTTTAGTGCCTGTGTTAGTTTCCTCTTCCTAGGAAGATTATTGTAATCTGTTCTTTGAAGTCCAGTTTTCCTATCCTTTGCTTATGTCAGTGGCTCTTTAACAAAATGATAAAGTATATTTCTGGAAATCACATGGATTTGGAACTCTCTTTTGTTATGTTTAGGCTTTACTTTAAAGGCAACTCCAGGCTTCCAAGAAACAGTGAAGAGGAGGCAGAGAGGAGCAGAGACGCTTCCTCGCTGACGCTTACACTGTTGCCATGGACCTACATAAGCAGTGGGAGAACACAGAGACTGACTGGCACAAGGAGAAGATGGAATTACTGGACCAGTTTGATAATGAAAGGAAGGAATGGGAGAGTCAGTGGAAGATCATGCAGAAGAAAATAGAAGAGGTACAAGCTGATTTGTTTCAAATGTACTGTACACTTCAAGCTGAGAATCCTGTGGACGTTTGCTTTGTATTGGACTCTGTTTTCCTTATTCCACCTAAGAGGTGCATGCCTCAGCGACACTTACTAGACCAAAAATAGCATGCTCTTCTTACCCAGTGGTACTTTAAAAACTAGTTTATAGCCTTGCATAACAATTAAAAACCTGAAATATCAGTCTAAAATATATCAATTTATTATTTTTGGCTCGAAGGCCTTGGTTTCCAAAGCGAGGCAGGTATTCAGCATGAGTTTTCAAATACCAGGTCCTGAGGGTAAAATGCAAGGAAGACATAATTGTTGAGACGTATATTGGCAAAACTACCATTGGGCGTTAGAATATAGACGATGATTAGACTATATCTTCTCTGAGATGCTATGTAAATAATGTCTATGTAAAGGAAGTTCTAGATAAGTCTGCAGTATAATCAAAAGGAGTATTGTACGTCAAACAGAAAGGGGTGGCAGGCATGAGCTGTTTTCTGGCCTGGTGTGCCACAGTTATTGGCACATTTGTTAGGAAAGGGGTTATGAAAAATTACATGTCAGAACTCTGATGCAAATAGTCATTTTATTCCCATTAGTTGTCCGACGGCGGTTAGGCCTGGAACACTTCCTTCAAGCATTTGCTTTGGCAAATATTCAACCAGTACAATTGCAAATTCTTTATTCTTTTCTTGCTTTCTTCTGGTAATGGCCATAGTACTAACTGATAATGGTCAGTCTATGCACATTACCAAAAGTGGTTATTTTAAGGCTCCTTGGTTTTTATTTGCAGGCAAAGTAAGTGCTTTATGTTTATGATGCAAACATTTTTCTCTTTAACAGCCATGTAATAGGTGAGAGTAAAATACAAATTGGCCTGGTGAGAGAAGAAATAAAAGTAGGGTCATCAAGCCTTTTCTCTAAAATAGAGCTGAGTAGGCAGCTTGTAGCGTATAGTTAAAGATTGAAAGGAGGGTGGTGCCTGTAGCTCAAAGGAGCAGGGTGCCAGCCTCATATACTGGAGGTGGTGGATTCGAACCCGGCCCGGCCAAAAACTGCAAAAAAAAAAAAAAAAAAAGATTGAAAGGAGAATCTACTTCTCCTTCTTCTGCAGTTCGGGAAATTCCCTTAATTCTCCTACCCAGAGACTCAGACTGGGTTGACAAAGAGAAGCATAGGTCAAATCAGAATCCAGAACTCCAGTTTAATCAGAAACTGATCTATAATTGTGGTTTCTTGCCTGCCAAATGTTTGGGTGCTCCAGTTGGTAACAGTCTCACATATTTCTAGCATCTAAGCATAATAATTAAGGGATGCATGACTCATCGAGCCAATTGTTTAAGCCAGGGGTCCTCAAACTTTTTAAACAGGGGGCCAGTTCACTGCCCCTCAGACCGTTGGCGGGCTGGACTGTGGTCCCAGGATGAGTCAGCTGCTAAGTAGGACAGGCAACAGTAGCAAAAACACCTGGTGGGCTGGATAAATGTACTAGGCAGGCTGCCTGTGGCCCACAGGCTGTAGTTTGAGGACGCCTGGTTTAAGCCATAGCTAAAACTAACTATCCGGTTAAGTTTGTTATTGTGCAATAATTATTCTGACAACTGCGTAGTGTCTGTTCAAGGTAAATATTAGCCTTGTCAATTAATGAGCACTAAACATTCTTTAAACATAGGAGTATAGCTCATAGATATGCCATCCCTTTCTGTATCAGGGAAACAGAAGGGCCGTAATATTTTTCGTTCATCTTGGAGAGAAGTTGTGCCACTATTTGTTTTGCTGACTGTGCTGTACAGCTTCCTGGCTGGGAATACGTTTATACAATGTGCTTACCCAGAATGCCCATAGATGAGGCTCTTCCATGTCTGAATACCAGCACTGTGTTCCCCTTATCATATACCAAAACATGTATTAAAGGCACCTTCTTACGGGCTACAGAGCATGGAAAGGAAAACGAGGAAAGTACCTTCCCATGTCACAGATAATCAAGACAAATTTTTAGGCTAAAAGAAATGAGCACTTGGAAAAAGAATATCATGAGCATAATAGACTGTACTTCTTTAAATGTATCACTCAGTTCTGTGTACTAAATCAGATATAAATTATTAAGTCCTGTGCTAGAGAACTGTAGGTTCCCAGGTACATGAGCACTTTCCAGTGATAATAGCATCTCATACGAGGATACCGTGTTGGTTAGCAAATTGCTCATGACTCTCTGTTCAGCCACTACCCACTATCATTGCATTTGCTCTTGCACAACCAAGATATACATATTCATGTCATTTGAAATAACTGAATAATCCAGATAGAAATTCTGGACAAAGTTTACAGACATCTGAGATTTTGTTTTTCACACTGTAATCTTTCCTGCTTGTTCTCTTTTGATAGAATAGTCACATAACCATTGATAAGGGCTGAGTATGAGGTAACTCAGGTTCCCTTATGCAAAATAAATAGTTTTCCACCACCTAAATCCCCTAAAAGTTTAAGATGGCATAAAATTACATATTGGGTAAAGTATGTACCATGAAAATAGAAAGATGAGGTGAAGACAGGAGGAAGAAGTGTATGGGAAATCCAGCAGTGAATCCTTCTAATAGCTAACTCAGAAATTATCAGGTGCATACTTCTTAATATTCAGAAGACAAATCAAACCTGTTTCCTAGGAACAGCGCTTTCCCTCCGGGTTTTTAAACTAGAGAAATTGTGTTTTTATGCATGGCTTCCCCAAAAGAGGACAGTGTCACCAGCAGCATCCTTAGATTTAATATGTCACTTTTTAGTATTGTTTCTTATAATAATCCCTTGAGATCAGCCCAAATCACAATTCCCATATCAGTTCAGTCCAAATAATTTTACAGGACCTGAACAAATGATTCATGGCTGCAGATTGGTCCTATCCTGACTTTAAACAATAAATACAAGTAAGTGTATTAGTCCTAGGAAAACAAATGCCCCAGGTTAGTTTTCAGGCATCAACTATAAGTAGTGCTTCTCTCAAATGGGTTTTGGGTAAATACTAAGCAGAGGTAAATTGTTATAGCCTTGAATAATACATGTAGTACAGATAGTGATTGTGGCTCTCAAGTGTATAGTTGTTTGTTTAGTTGTTATCTGAAGGTTTCTTTTGAAATTTGACAAGCTTTTCCAAGACTTAAGCCTAAAAAGGCCCACGTCCTTCCTCTATTCACAGGCGAGCTGAGTGACACCTGCAGGTTTATCTAAGATCTCATCAAGGAATAATTGGGTCTACTTTAACACAGGCGAATAGATGATCAAAACCATAACGTTCTGTCATACCACAAAGGGAATTGTCACATATGTATTAATCTGGATGAGAAAATTTTTAGAATATCTATAGCCTTAGTATTAAAAAAGAAAAAAAAAAACCCTCAGTAATATCCAGGCTTCACCAATGTACCTGACCAAAGGTAACATTCTTTGATTGACAAAGGCAACAGAATGAATTGACTTAGTATATGAGATCAGTAACTTTAGAGTGTTAAATGTTGGCATACAAGTAGGCTCATATAGTGTAAAAGAATGACTTTAACGTGAAACTCCTGCTTCTCTCTGAAAGCAATTAGATACATAGCCAGTCATTGATTCAGATCATTCTAATCTTGTGACAGCACTTCCGTATCTGTGCGTATATAGTACAGTCATTTTATTTTTGAATGAGTTGATTTCTAATTAGAATGATAGAAGGTGGCATCCGTGCATCGCCCTCCTAAAAGTAGTCTTTTGGTTCATCAAAATCGTTCTTGTTAATCCATATTTTAGAAGCACTGTTTGGAAGAATAAGCATTATACCCAGGTGGAATATAGTAACATGGCAAAAAGAACTCAAAACAGTTTGCTTAGTATCAAGAATATTAACAGGCTTGGCGCCTGTAGCACAGTGGTTATGGTGCCAGCCACATACACTGAGGGGTGGCAGATTCGAACCCAGCCCAGGCCAGCTAAACAACAATGACAACTGCAACAAAAAATAGCTGGGCATTGTGGCAGGTGCCTGTAGTCCCAGCTACTTGAGAGGCTGAGGCAAGAGAATCGCTTAAACCAAAGAGTTTGAGGTTGCTGTGAGCTGTGATGCCAGGGCTCTCTACCCAGGGCAACATATTGAAACTCTGTCTCCAAAAAAAAATAAAAATAATAATAATTATATATATATATCTCAAAGTGAATTCAGAGGAAAAAATTTAATTTTGTTTTCTTACAGCTTTGCCAGGAAGTAAAGCTTCGGAGGAAGATCAATATGAATCAGCGTGCTAAGGGGATTGGTCTTGATCTTGAGAAGGCCACTGAAGACAAAAGGATGGTATCTTCTCCAGATTTTCCCAATTCAGGACAAAGTAACTTTGCAGGGATGAATCCCTGGGTTGGTCTGGGAAAAGAAAATAAAGCAGAGCAGAGCTTACTCAGTGAAGGAAATCAAACATGTAAGGAACTAAAGGTAACAAAAAAGTCAAAAGTAGAGTTTACGGATCCTTTGGCCACAGACAATCAAAAGGAATGTGAGGCCAGGCCTGGCATGAGGACTTCTGAGGAAGACAGCAAGAGCTGTTCTGGCGCCCTCAGCACAGTAAGTGAGATGTGATTAGCCTAGAACTCTTTTCTAAAGAAATGTTTACATTTCAAAGTGCTAACTTGCTATTGCTTATACATATAAAGGCTCTTGAAGAACTTGCCAAAGTTAGTGAAGAATTATGCAGCTTTCAAGAGGAAATTCGAAAGCGATCTAACCATAGAAGGTAGGCTGGTTATATAATGATGTTCTGATATTTTATGCCCAAGACTCAATTTATTTCTATACAATCAGTATCAATATCATGAAGGCATACATATTTTTTTGAAAAACATATTGTAACTATGTATACACACATGCCACAAAAAATTGCTGTTTCAGTTCAGAAACAGTAGATAATTCTAACAGTAATTTTTAAGCAAGTTAAAAAAATATATTTGGAATTCTCCACTAGGTGAATAAAAATGGAATAGTCTGGGACCAAAATCTATCTCCTTCTGGGGCAATGTGCCTCTCTCAGAAAGCTGCAACAATATATTCCCTTATTTTTCTTTAGCTCTTAGGAAGCCCAGAGAGAATTTTTGGGCTGACTTCAATAGAATTTTTTTTTTTAGAGACACTGTTTCACTATGTTGCCCTTGGTAGAGAGCTGTGGTGTCCCAGCTCACAGCAATCTCAAACTCTTGGGCTTAAGCATTTCTCTTGCCTCAGCCTCCCAAACAGGCACCCACCACAATGCCCAGCTACTTTTTTGTTGCAGTTGTCATTGTTGATTTTAGCTGGCCCTGGGCTGGGTTCAAACCTACCACTCTCAGTGTATGTGACCCACTCCCTACCCACTGAGCTACGGGTGCCACCCAATGGAACTTTTTAAAGCAAAAATGTTTTATACCTGTTTATCAACTTACCCATTTACTTTTTGTTTACTATTTTCTGTTGATGAGTACTTAAGATATGTCACATAATATATAATCTTTTATACGTTGAAGATAAGTTGAATATAGATGATTTATATTTATCAATATGAGTAAATTTGATTTGTGATCGTTGCTTTATTTAGGTTTTTACTTTAAAACTCAGAACTTGACAGTTTTCTTTTACAAGTCACAATCTGGTATACAGCCCTTTTGTCACCCCCCAACCTTTAGAACAAGGTTCAAAGTCTTTAATATGTAACTCAAACTCATGATGTTTTGACATGAGCTATTATTTCTCTCTCATTTTTCCTCCTGTCCCCCACTCTGCTTTATAACTCATCTGTACCTATTGTCCCACATAGGGTCTGTGGCCTGGTAGGAACCAGGCTGAACAGCAGGAGGTGAGTGGCAGGCAAGTGAGCAGAGCTCCGTCTGCATTTACAGCCGCTCTGCGTTCCTGCATCACTGCCTGAGCTCTGCCTCCCATCAGATCAACAGTGGCATTCGATTCCCATAGGAGTGCAAACCCTACCATAAAACATGCATGTGAGGGATCTGGGTTATGCTGGCCTAGTGAGAATCTAATGCCAGATGATCTTAGGGGAGATGTAATGCAAAAGAATCACCCCCAAACCATCCCCTCTGCCGCCAGTCCCTGGAAAAATGGTCTTCCTCAAAACTGATCCCTGGTGCTAAAAGGTTAGGGACTGCTGATGTATACCAAAGTTAGAGCAAGATTCAAACTTTTAATGTATAATCCATATGATGACTTGACATGACCCAATGTTTTTCTCTCGTCTTTCATTATGCTCCCTGTTCTGCTTTATGATCCATCTGTACGGAAGTACTTGCTATCCCTGGCAGAGACACATGATTTTTATCACAAGCGATAAAAATTTTTTTATCGCTTGAGATAAAAAATTTACTTCGCCTATTTGCCCTTTGCTCAATTGTACTTTACTTTGCCTGTTTGCACCTTGTTCAATTTGTCCAAAAAACAAAACAAACAAACAAACAAAACAGCTTACTTTTCCTTCAAGTCCAAGTGAAACCTTCCATTTGGAAGTACTCACGTCTCATGGCACTTTCATTCAGATTTCTCTATCTCACTACTGAAAATATTATTTCGCATTCAGAGGGAGAAAGTTGATCTCCCATCACATAATGAATAGGAATTCAGTAGGCAGAGAGGATGTAGGGAAATGGCAAGGAAAAGCTACAAAAATGCACCAACCCAGAAGAGTACAGGTCTAATCTGAGTATAGGTGAAGTCTCAGGTAACAGAGAAAATAGAACACAAATTTGGAAAGATGGTTTGGCTCCGAGTCTATAGGGCCTTGAATGTAATACTACCATTAATGCCAAAGTATGACTTGAAGTTTTCAACTAGGAGATGTACGTAAAAATGATGTTTGAGTAAATCGTGACTCCTTTTCCTGTAGCAGAAACCTATTGCTTAAACTACCATGTTTCCCCCAAAATAAAACACTGTCTTATATTTATTTTTTCTCAAGAAGACACACTAGGGCTTATTTTCAGGGGATGTCTTATTTTTATTAAGTATAATACAAGAATCTACATTTATTCAAATACAGTGAAGTCATCTTCTTCTGGAACCTGACAGGGGGAGCCAACCTTGTTGGTGGGGCTGGTGCTAGTGATGCGTGAATTCCTTTCCCCTAAGCTGTTCGTAAGTGTGCAATAGGATACCTGCGACCAGGGTTACCACACATGCACCCGCGCAAGTACGAACGGCTTGGAGAAAGGAGCTGTGGCAGATGAAAGGTATTCCGGTCTTCCTTACTGCTCCACACCAAAATGCTGGGCATGGCTAGGTCTTATTATCAGGGTAGGGCTTATATTTTGGGTAGGTCTTATTTTCGGGGAAACACGGTATGGTTCTTTTCTTTTTTATTCACTGTTATTTTATAATAGAACTTCTTCAGAGAGTAATAATACTTATTTTCCCAAAATGATATTTTCCTTACAATTGATGTGATGTGGGGGTCTGGTCCCCTCTACCTTTGCCCAGATCTGCACTGAGAGCAGCCAATGTGAGAAAAGATTCAGACTCAGTTATCCCAGGTGACATAACTGATGGGAGCCCGTGAGAGTCATACACTATCACTGGTAGCATCCAGAAAGTACAGCTAGCAAGTACAGCCTTGATCCCCTCACCCTAAGGTCTCTTTCTAGAGTCAAAAACCATAAATCATGTTGACAACATAAAACAGAAAGTTAATTTTAGTTATTAGTTATTCAAAGTAAGGTGCCCCAAGCAGTCATTTCCAGTAAAAGAGGGAAACAACAGAGGAAATCAAGTAAACACATCATGTGATTATTATAAATTTCGGGGTAAACTTTTACTTTCCTAACTTGCTTCCCTGATTTTTATCTTATACCTGGAGGAGGACTCAGCTGATAGTGATCTTTGCTAAGCCTCAAGATGTCAATCAAGCCATCTGTAGCACCTGGAAGGCCAGAAGCCTGGACTCTGGTCAGACAGGATCTCTGGACTGCTAGTCCTGAGTCCCCGGGGCCGGACGCCCTGTGCTCTGAGTCACTTGGACTCTGGTCAGACAAGTTCTCCAGGAATGCCTGGCCTAAACTACACTGCAAACCTGACTCCTACAATGTGAAGCATCTTTGAAGGCTTCAACAAAGCCAGATTTTAAAGGGGATTTGAATGTTTTCTTGAGCTCTTTGGTTTTAGGGTTTTAAAAAAATTATTATGGGTACTTAATAGTTGCATATATTTTTAGGGGACATGTGATATTTATATATAGCATACATTGTATAATAATCAAATAAAGTATTTCAGGTACCCATTACCTCAAGCATAGGTACTCATCATTTTTTTGTTTTTGTTGTTGAGACAGGGTTTCACATTGTCACCCAACCTGGAGTGCAGTGGTCTCATCATAGCTCACTACAGCCTCAAATTTCCAAGCTCAATCAATCCTCCTGCCTCAGCCTTATGAGTAGCTGGGACAACGGGCTAATGCTATCACACCTGGCTGAGTTTTCTGTTTTTAGGAGAGTTGAGATTGCACTTTTGCTCAGGTTGGTCTGGAACTGCTGGCCTCAAGCAAGCCTCCCACTTCAGCCTCCCTAAGTGCTAGGATTACAGGCATTATGCCTGGCCTATATTTATCATTTTTTATGTTGGAAACATTCCAATTCTACTCTTTTAGTTGTAAAATATACAGTAACTTCTTTTTGACTATAGTCACCTTGTTTTTATATCTTGTTTGTTTTATTTCACTGTATTTTTGAGAGCTTATCCTAAATAAACTTATAACTAATACAGCATATTTTATTGTTTAGGATGAAGTCAGATTCTTTTCTCCAGGAAATGCCAAATGTAATTAATATGCCTCATGGGGACCACATTATCAACAATGGCCGATGTATTCTTCCAGTTAATTCAGCAAAAGAAAAACAAAAAAATAGGAAGAATCTGAGCTGTGCCAATGTGCCCCAAAGCAATCCTATGAAAAAATATGGAATTGAAACAATTGATTTGCAAAGAAATGAAACTCCACCAGTTCCTCCTCCAAGAAGCACCTCTCGAAATTTTCCCAGCTCAGATTCTGAACAAGCCTATGAAAGGTTGAAGGAAAGTTTCAAACACAATAACTGGTTGGCCCATGAGGGTCTAAGTGAAAGGACCTGCAATCCTCACTTCCTTTTGAGGCAGCATGAGATGTCTACGTTGTGTCCCAAAGAAGAGAAGACTTTGAAAGATGATACTGTGTTTTCTTCTTTGGCACCAGAAATCAAAATAGATAGCAAGCCTCCAAATAAAGATGTTGGACTTAGCATGTGGTCATACGACATTGGGATAGGTGCAAAAAAGAGCCCCTCTACTGTATGGTTTCAGAAAACTTGCTCTACTCCCAATAAGTCAAAATACGAAATGGTGATCCCAGATCACCCTGCTAAATCTCATCCTGATCTTCATGTAAATAATGACCGCAGCTCCTCGGGGTCACGGAACAGTAACCCACTTAGGAGTTTTAGTTATGGCCTTGAAAGAACTATAAGGAATGAAAAGCTGGCAGCAAAGACTGATGAATTTAACAGAACTGTATTTAGAACGGATAGAAATTGTCATGCCATACAGCAAAGTCAAAGCTACTCGAAATCATCTGAGGATCTTAAGCCCTACGATACCTCGTCTACTCATCCGGGTAACATATCAGAAAATGACAATGTGTCTGGTATTTGGAAAGCCAGTGCCCACCTGCCTGTGCCCATGGAAAATGTGCCTGATAATCTTACCAAGAAATCCACAACAGGACTAGGCAGACAAATGCAGGGACACAGAAGTCCTCGCAGTTATCGGAATATGCTCCACGAGCATGAGTGGAGACCAAGTAATCTGTCTGGTCGACCCAGGTCTGCTGATCCCAGGTCAAATTATGGTGTTGTGGAAAAGCTGCTGAAAACCTATGAGACGTCAATGGGATCTGCATTGCAAAACCCCAGCTGCTTCCGGGATAATGGGACCAAATGTAATTTTGATGTCAGTGCTGGTACCTCATTAAGTCAGCATTTAGAAATGCTCCAAATGGAACAAGAATTTCAGCAAAAGACAGCTACGTGTGGGGGACAGCAAGTGAAGCAAGGACTAGATCGGAAAACGGTAACAGAGGTGAGAAAGCAAGCAACATAGTCTGGTAGAAATGCCTCCATGCTCAGGCCAACCTGTTGCCCATTTGTATAAGTAGGTTGTAGACATACATTTGGGTCTGTTCTTAGCTGCTTGACCCTCTGTTTTTAAATAGATAAAACTCAACAGGAACTTCTAAGGGATGGGTCTTAAGACTGGGAATAGTATATTAGTGTATTTATAACTTTAAAGATTCTGAAATGGGATAACATAAATGTCAGAGGTGGATTTCAACCTTGAGAAGGTCAAGTGTTTGTTTTTCTCTCTTGAAAAAATATTCAGAATGGATTTTGGTTGGAATTTTATTCTTTTAAAGGTTTACTTTTTTAAAGCATGTGGAAAATAATTTTAAAGTAATTTTTACTTTTCAGTTAAGGACTATGATCGGTTCCGTTATTCTCAGCATTTGGTTCACGTTCTTTCTCTGAGGATCAGTCACTTTAATGTTGAATGTGGGTAAAACACATCATTTAAAACAGTGCCTGATGGGGTTCTTTCATCTGTGGAACTAAAAGCATATAAAAATATATTATATATACTCATGGCATGGAAAATGGAAAAAAATTAAATATTTAAATAAGCTGCTATCTTTTGTTTCTTTCCATTTTAAAAGTGTATAATCGTCATTAGTTATAGGAGAAAAAGAGGTCAGAGAAATATCTATAATGAAGAGGTATATAACAGGCCCTTTTATGCATATAATTATTAAGAACATACAAAAAGTTATGAGGTGGCATATTGTTATTATTGGCCAATGCTTCAAAGATTCTAGTCTTACAGAATGCTGTGTGCCTGCAGCATGATTTTAAGCTATGCAGGCTGACTCCTTTTCATATAAAAAATTAATATATGGATTTCAAATCCTGCAAAAATATCAGTTTTATCCATTTTATCAGAAACCTTGCCTGTTTCTGATAAAAGTAGAAGATACAAATAATTATTCAGTGTTTGTATTTCTCTGCTTAAAAAACTAAAAGCTTAAAAGCTGAGCTCATAAATGTAAGGACATCCTATAATTAGAGATCAGAAATGGAAACATGTACACAGTAAACCTAAACTCTCCGTAACTAATAAGAAATAATACTAAATATTTCCCCTTTTTGCATGGATTGGACATTTGGGAGTAGGATCCTATACTTTAGATTCTTACTTTTGTTTTGTTTTTGTGACAAATGCTAAACAATAACTCTCCAAAGAGAGAAAAAAAAAAATGTGAGTTATTGTCAGGTCATGACTGAAACGGCAGAAATAGAGGCGATCTTCACTGCCCATCTCAGATGAAAGAGCAGAGACATGGTTAAAAAGCTCAGTAAGAATCCTGTGTATGAAATGTGTCATGAGAGCGTTTGTATTTTTTTAATTGTAAAGATAAAAAAATGCTTTTCTTCCATTGAAATAAGTAAAAAGAAGGAAGGAAATAAAAGGAAGAAAAGGAATAGGTTTGCACTCATCTGACCATACCTTGTAGAGACTGCAACTGTTTGTTAGCAATTAGAATGAAGTTGCATTTAAAAGTATTTTAATGATGATTTTTAAATTTTTGAGAAAGAATGTAGTGAAAAAATAGCATCAGATAAATAATTCAATGTTGTGCATTTTGCTGATGAACTCTAAAGTATCAATAATCTAACATAGATGATTTCTTCCATAAATTATCTTTTTATTTTTAAAACACTAAAACATCCTAACATCTCACTTAAGAAAGATCTGTAGTGGGTGGCGCCTGTGGCTCAAAAGGGTGTAGGGTGCCGGCCCCATGTGCCGGAAGTGGCAGGTTCAAACGCCACCCCCGCCAAAAAATGCAAAAAAAAAAAAGAAAGATCTATAGTTCTATCATATCAAAATTATTTGCCTCTAGTTTTTTTGAATACTGTGCTGATAATTAGTTCTGCAAAGGGATCAGTTATATTAAACTTTATCAGTATGTGGAGAGCTATAAGATTATCAAGTGCCATATTCCAAATTCAATTAAAATCAAATTGTTTGGAATAAAACATTTAAAACCACAAATATTAGACAATACCTTCTTTAGTTTTCCATGCCTGGTTTTGCTTTTAAATATGCTAATATGTTGGGATCTATAATATATTAAGCTGATTGCTGGTGCCTGTATAGTAAGAGAGGTTTTCATTTGTGTCCTAGGAATCCATGATAGCGAAAACTTCACATGGAAAAGGATTTTCCCGGCCTGCTAGACCAGCAAATCGGCGTCTCCCATCCAGATGGGCACCTAGATCTCCATCAGCACCCCCAGCCTTGCGGAGGACTGCCCACGGCCAAACCATTTCTCTACGATCCGAAGCATCAATAAACTAAGTCTCTGGCCTGGATTGTTAGATTACAAAAGATCTAGTCCTGATTGTCAAATGGAGCATTCTGAGTGTTCACAGCCAGTCCTGTTCTCTTCTCTGTCTTTCAAGACCACTGGGACAAGCAACTTAATTCTTAACTTTCCATCAGTCTTCAGTGTTTTTAATCTACGGAATAATTACTTTCCTGTATTTTGATTTCTTAGATCAGAATTTTTTAATACCATCCTCATTTAATTTTCCAATATGATTTAAGTTGACACAATGTACAATATTGTATATTCTGACTTTCTTGCAAGTGGCAGAAAGCAAGGTTATGTGCATGGCCATGTGTTTGTAGGTGCATGTGTTGAAATCAGAAGTATCCTAGTGTGTATTTAGATAAGAAAAACTTATGTGCTAGTGTTGAATTTGAAATTATAACATGTATACCTATATATTCTTTGTGTTTATTTGAAAGTTTTGAAAATATATAGTACTATTTATATTTTATATACCTTTGAATAGGTATCCACCTAAGCAATTGAGGTACATAGGTTAATTAGCCACTTCCTCGACCCCCAGCTACATGGAAAAATAAGAATTATACACATATCTAACATCGGTAGAGTTCTAAATACAATTCATAAATAGTTTCTTAACCCATATAAGGATAAACTAATACCATCAATCTCCTTGTTTATTCTTTTTTAAATTGAAGTGTCACAAGTTTAACAGATCAGCCTTCTAAAGCAAGCATAAAATGTTCATAAATGCTTTTGTTTATCATTTGTAGTCTAGTATGGTTTACCTGTGTACTTGACCCTCAGAGCCCATGTCATAAGCCTGCCTTATAAATGACTAAATAATGAATTTGTCAACCTCAGTAACATATATTCCTTGAACAGGATGCAAAAGACGTTAAATTATATTGAATTTTACTCTTCGTTAAAATTGTGGCAAGCTTTTAGTTTAGCCACTTTACTTGGAGTCATACATATTTAGAGGTAAGTCATTCATTTTTTTCTTTTTCTAGCCTTTTCCTTAAAATTGGTAGATGAAAAAACTAGTTCACTTTTTTATGACTAAGGAAGATCAGGAATAATATTTACTTGAGACCTGAAATATGTTTCTTATAATGTGCTACCAAAAAAAGAAAGCCTTAAACTAAACTTTGACATCCATAATAACATCGAGAAGAGAAACATATATTTTGGCTACAAATTGCATATAGGAAACCCATAAAATCTATGGTGAGAACTGATACTTTTCAACCTATTCAAAACCTATTAATATTATTACTTAGAAATTAATTCTATGTAAGCTTTTCTCTTACTACCATGAAAAAAGTTAAGTAATTCTTATGCCAAACGTATTCAAAAAGCCTTTTCCTCACCATGTTTTCTAACCATTTAGAAACCATTCAACACCATGACTTGAAGTAAAATAAATAATTTTCAAATTGCAGATTGCCTCGCAAGTTCCAACACTGTGGGTTGGTGATATCTACATCCATACTTTATAACAAAGAGACTTTCAGGAGTTGGGCAGGATTAAATTTTTAGAATATGAGTTTGAATCAGATGGTAAGTAAGGGCTATAGACTAACTCTTCTAATTCTTGTTTCCTGTAGCAATATTCTTTTCCAGAGAAAGCCTATCAAAGAAAAATAAGACACTAAGTAATATCACTCTCATAAAGTACTTTTCAGCTAGAGGGGAGAAAACACCAAGAAGGTGGAACTTTGGGGCATAAAATAATGGAAAATGCTGCCGTGTGACCTTGGCGGGCCTGCCCAAGGTCAGCACTGTGTCCCACCCAGGTAGTCTGCTGTGATCTGTGGTTGCTATCTTTACCAATCAACCAGAAATTAAGGAACTGTTTAAAAAATGAAATTTCTAATCTCATTCTCTAATTACTAAAACAAAATTTACAGAGGTGGGGACTGGGATTCTGGAGTCTTTCATAAAACAAAAGAAAGCAAAGCAAAATAGATTTGGAAGCAGTGGCATTGATTAATACTTGAATAGTTGGGTAACCTTTGGGTGGTCACGTTTTTCCCCTGAAATTTGCTTTTGTTATCCATAAATTAAAAGGATTTTATTGTCAGGCTTTACAGTTTTAAGCTACGTTTTGGGTTAATTTTTGAATAAACCCTTGGGATAAATTTAAATAGCTTCTGATGTTGACTAAAATCATAGAATATTAGAGCTGAAAAAAGATAGGATTAGTCCAACCCCTTGATTATAAAACTGAAGAAACTAATATAGATTATTTGAATATTCTTTTCTCTTCTAAATATTTTATAATTTTTAATGGAAAAAACTCTTAGGAAAATGGGAATCATCCTTGGAAATATTTTTTGATGTATTGTGATTTTTAACTGGTAATTTTTCTACTTTGGATGGGCATTTTCCAACAACATAACTTTCATTATACCATCATTGCTAGATTTAAAGGATTTGTAAACATTTCTAGAAATACTTGATTAGAAACATTTATAATAATGGATATTTTCCCTAGCAGACTTTGGGGGAAAAAAAAATCTTAACTTATTTCAACACAGGATTATTGATATTACAGGCTGATCTCCGAAAGGAATAAGAATGAGGCAGAGAAGAGTGCTTGAGAGAGAGAGAGAGTGTGTGTGTGTGTGTGTGTGTGTGTGTGCGTGCATGTGCCACCATCACGTAAGTTCTCTATATTGCCTTATGTCCCAATGCCAAATATAAATGATGCTTTGTATGATTCACTTTATCAGAAATTATCCATAACTTTCATTTGTTAAAAAGACCATTCATTTTGTAGATATTACTATACAACATGAGTTATTTCTAAATGAGTGATTTGACCAGGCTCCATGTTATCCTGAAAAAAACATTTGGATTGAAAAAAAAGTGTATATGCTTCCCTCCAAAGATCTTTAAAATTACTGTTAGGCATATTTGCTGATAAACGACTACTTGATATTGAAATCTTCAGCCATTAGAAGCTATCAAATAAAATAGGTGTGGAAACACCCACTGTGGCAATTGTATACATTGAGAACATCTTTATTTTCCTCCTTTCCTGCAGTGACTTCCAATAAAGCTGAGAGTCTTATGAAGCCTAAACTCAAATATGTACACAATCCAATCTAGCCTCTCCCAAAATATCTCTAGATGGAAGAATTTAAGCCAAATCTATCCAACTTCTCACTCCTGGCCACACATGACCTCATATGGTTTTCATACACTGATATCCTCTCTGTGCCCATTTAACTGCTAATTTAGTCTAATGAAAAATTTTCTTTGAAAACAGCATTCATCTTTGAAGTTTGGATTTACATGACAAAAGTAAATTATGTTTAGGCAGATTCAGACTTACAGGATAGTACTATTTTTCTCCAAATTCTGCACCTTTTTCTTAAGTAGCATGTATGTTTATCAGAAATTATACAACTATGACTTACTCATCTTGCCCAGGAAATATGCTGCTTCAAAACATGGGCCTCATAAAGCAAAAAATCAAAATCAAAGAAAAATGGAAGGGAGAGGTCCTTCAGGCAAGTGCCAGATAACAAGTTTGACTCAACCATTTTTATCATATAAATTTTTTTAGTACGGGAAATGATTTTGTTTTAGTGGGAATAAAATCGTGAGACTTATTTCAATGATCTTATGAATCCACTAGGTTAAATTCTAAAAAGAAAATCTGCTTAGATGTAGTGACTGAAAAGTCTAGAAATCAAAGAAGAGTCTAGAGTTGGAAGGACCTAAGAATAGAGATTCAGAACAATCTCATTTAGAGGTAAGAAACTTGAGATCGGTCCGTGCGGCTGCCAAGTTTATATGGACAGAATCCGAGCCTGGGCTCAAATACCGGTATCTTGCCTCCCCGTAAAAATATACCATGTCCATCTGTGAATTTATTGTTTCCAAAGCACAGGATTTGTTTACATATTCCATGACTTGTTTGCTTTTCCTTTTTTTGAGACAGAGTCTCATTCTGTCACCCTAGGTAGAGTGCTGTGGCATCATTATAGTTCACAGCAATCTCAAACTCTCGGGCTCAACCTCCCAAGTTGAGGCCAAGATGATCTTGCCTCAACTTCCCAAGTAGCTGGGACTCAGGCACATGCCATGATACCCAGCAGTTGTTTGCTTCTTAAACCTCAAGTCATGCATTGTGATTTCTAATGATGGGAGGAAAAATTAAATAGTCAAAATAATAATTAGAAGAAATATGTTCCAAGATCATTGAAATAAATAGATGATTCTTTGGACTCCTACCTCAGGCTCTTTTCCTTTTCCAAAGAAGGAGAAAAAGAGGAAGGAAAAGAGTGAGTAGTTCTTTTTTATTTTTGTTTTATGTTTTATGCAGAGCACTGACATTGTTTATTTTGCTTTCATTGAGAGTTTCTCTGGAGTCTGTCATTCAGTGTTCATCAAAAGTTATCACTCTTTGGGCAGTGCTTGTGACTCAAGGAGTAGGGCACCATCCCCATATACCAGAGGTGGTGGGTTCAAACCCAGCCCCAGCCAAAAAGCTGAAAAGAAAAAAGTGATCACTCCTGATTTATATGGTTCCAACAAATTCAAAATGTTTTCAACAAGGCTCACTTTCACAGAATATTTTCAATTTCAATTTTAATGCCTATAGTCTGGTATTAAATAAACTATGGGGGGGGCATGATTTTGGAAGCAAAACTAATAAATGGCCAAGCAGTCCTCCCCTAAAGCACCAACAGAATCCTGACCTTCTCAGTCTGCAAAAGAATCATAGAAAAGATTCACACTATATAACTTCCATGTACTCCAGAATAAATGAGGCCATTTCACATGAAGCACCGTATTAGTCCATTTATGCCACTAAAATAACACATCTGAAACTGAGTTATTTATAAAGACAGAAATTTATTTCTTGCAGTTCTGAAGGTTGAGAAGTCCAGGATCAAGACGCCAGCAGATTCAGTGTGTGGTGAGGGTTGCTCTCTGCTTTCAAAATGGTGCCTTGTCGCTGTGATCTCACATGGCAGAAGGGGCAAGTGCTCTGTCCTTACCTGGGAGAAGACAGAACAGCACATAGCCAAATGTTGTGAGAAATCTCTTTACAAGGTCTTTAATTTCCCCTACATGAGAGAGGAACACTCCTGATCTGTTCACTTCCTAAAGGTCCCATCTCTTAATAATACTGCATTGGAGATTAAATTTCAACTTAAATTTTGGAGGGGACACTTTCAAGCCATAGCAAGTAGGCAGTTATTTCCGATTTAAAGCTCACTCAAAATTACAGCCATGTCTCCATAAAAACAGTTCAGTCGAGATAGACCATATGCACAACTAAGGACCCTATGCTTATATATAATATTTTTGCTGCACCTTTTCTATGCTTAGATCTATTTAAATACACAAATACATATCATTTGTTACAGCTGCCTACAGTGTTTAGTACAGTAACATACCGTACAGGTTTTCAC